GCTAGGGCTCAGAGCAGGTGCGGGGTCACTGCGGGGTCACACGGATCGGGGTCAGCTCCCTGCGCAAGCCCACGCGAGTGCGTCTGGACTGCCCTAGACCGCACCGCCTCCTTCGGAAGCGGGATGGGCAATTATGTAACAAAAAGTTTGTATTTGTTCGATCGAGTGATGGATGTAGCAGTTTGAATGCAGGGCCTTCGCACTGAGCTGCATCCCCAGCGTTTTTTTCTTTCCTTTTTTTATTTTTACAGAAATTCCATTTCTTGAAATTTATTATTACCCAGTAGTTGTAAAAAATAACTTTTTATAATAACACATTTTTATTCCTATAGCTAGACAAAAACTGAAAAGCGTATTATATTGTCATTCTTTGTCTCACTGATATGATTTGATCATGTAAATCTCTGTCATTTTATTGGTCAGGATTCTTTTCTTTTTGAGACAGGATCTCCCTATGTATCTCAGGCTGGCCTTGAACTCACTACTGTGTAGCTCAGGCTGGTCTCCAACTTACAGTCCCTTGTTTTTTCTTCTGAGACAGTCTCGCTAAGTCGCCAAGTTGCCCAGGCTGGGCTCCAACTTGCAATATTCCTGCCTCAGCCTCCCAGAGTGCTGGGATTACAGAAATGCATGGCCACCATGCTGGGCTGTTCTTCCCTTAAGAATCCTGATTCCACCGGTTCCTCCCACTTCCTTCCTCAAACTTTCACCTACGGTGTCTTTTCTCCCCTCCGCTTCACTTCCTTTTTAACAGTGTACTCACTTCTAGGGCTGGGGCTTTAGCTCAGTGGTGCCTGCCTGCCTCACAGTGTAAGATCTTGAGTTCCATTCCTGGTACCAGAAAAAAAATGTATTAACTTCCACGGTGCACACCTGTCATCCCAGCACTCCGGCGGGAGGCTGGGGGAGCAGGAGGATTGCAGCAAATTCGAGGCCTAAATAGTGAGTTCAAGGCCACCCTGAACTACACAGCAAGAGGCTAAAATCCAAACCAAACAAAAACTTTAGATTTTGGCCTCCATTACTGGGCTAATTTTTAAATTCAGGAGATTTGACTTTGAAACCAGACAGCCCCGTTCAGATGTGGACCCTGCCACTTCCTGGATTCGTGGCCTTGGCAGGATTCTCAGCCTCTCTCAATCTGTACGTTGGGGATGGAGATGTTCACCACCGGGTTCCGGTGAGCACCAGGTGAGATAATAAAGCCAAAGCGCCAGGACAGCTCCTGTGACATCATTTGGCTCCTGAGTGGCCATCAGGGCCTTGGGAGAGGAGGAGCCAGCCGGCATGAGCCTTCCCAGCCAGACGCCTGGGCGAGGGGCAGGGGACAGCAGCCGGTTCTCTGAAACTCGAGGGTTTAAAATTTAAAAGGCTTCGCCAGGCCAAGCAACAGACTGGCGCTCAGCGGGGAAAGGGAACTTGGCGGGGCCCCAGAACTTTCCCCACCCCAGCCCTGCCGAGACTTCCTCTTGTGGTTTCTCAAAAGTACAACCTGTTCTTCACACACTTGGGAGGAGAGGCAGGGGCCGGGGTCACCGAGGTGCAGGGAGGAGGGGCGGGAGCTGCCTGGCTCACTCTGAAAGTCACATCCTGCCTCCCTGCTGTCTGGCATCGCCTCCCTCACCGGAGTCCAGCAGTGACACCCATCCCCCTTGCACCGCCCTCCCACAGTGGCTTCACCCCTCCCGCCAGGCACAGATCCTCTGCGGGGAGGAAAGAGGTTTTGGGTGCCAGGAGCTGGGCTCCACCAGTCACTGCCCGCGTGAAAGCCGGCTGTGGAGCTGTCGGTTTCCCACATTCCCAGATTCCCACAGAGCAGCTGTCTCTTAGCCTGCACTACTGGCACCTGTAATCCCAACACTTAGGAAGCTGAGGCAGGAGGATCACAGCAAGTTTGAGGACAGCCTGGGCTACACAGTGAGTTCAAGACCAGCTAAACTACATAGTGAGACTCTGTCTTGCAAAACCAAAAAACAAAAAAATTCTTGCACCCAACCTTGGGCTATTTATGTCCCCCTTCCTCTGATCAAGTGAGCCTTACACAGGGGAAACACACACACACATAAGCACGTGAACGCGCACGCTCGCAGAAACACTCAGGACCAGCCCTGTGCTGTCCCCACAACCCTAGTCCAGGTCTGCTGGGGCTCTGTGACCAGTGCGAGCCCCGAGCTGGGCTAACAGACCCTGGCTCACACCCCATACCACCCAGGACACAGGACTGCAGGACAGGGACAGTGGCCATAGGACTCAGAGCCCAGACTCAGGGGCACACTGCACACGGCCCATCCAGGAGGCAGGTGGCTGGGTTGGCAGGGGCAGGGTCTCCCAAGTCACGAGACTGGGGTTCCAATCCCGGCTCTGCCACGGACTTCCTGCCTGCCTTGGGAAGACTGCTCATTCCTGAGCCTGTTTCCCGCCGTCCCCATGACTCTCCCTAGGACTGTGAGGAGGATCCGATGACACGTGACAGCAAAGCCACATACGGGGTACCCGGCTGACTGTGCCCTGTACTTGTCCACACTCTGGAGGGATGGGGACGGGAAAAGAAGAGGCGACAAGCGGACCACAGAGCCTGCTGGACTGATCAGAGGCTCCAACCTGTCTGCTGAGATGTCCCTGACACTTCACCTGTGCAGGTGGTGCTCGGCCACAGCGAATGGTCTCAAGTTCAGAGAACACCGTGCAAGGGACGAATCGTGTCTCTGGGAACCACAAGAGAGAGGAGAGGGCGCAGGAAGCCAAGTGACAGCCACTTCACCCACCTAAGGTCCCAAAGAGAAAGGGAGGGGGCTGCCCTCACTAGAGGAAGGGACCCGCGAGCCCGATGCGGGCAAGGGCCAGGATGGTGTGGAACAACAGTGGCCCCGAGGGACCCACTGTCCCCTGTTGGTTCCCACCTTTTCTTGCCTGGATGGCGAGCAGGACCACTTTGGGGGTCACCATGTGACCCAGTGCTTGACAACACAACTGGGGTTCAGCCCAGCTCTGGGGGATAAATGCCCTCAAAGACCAGCTTCCGGACCCCTGCCTGGTGACCTGCTGCTGTCCTGTTCGGATAAAGCCCTGCCAACGCCCAGCTAGACTGCCTGGCCCCTCGTTGCTGCTGTTTTTGAACTGGACAGACCTGCGGGGACCTTCAGCGTCCCGTACAACCTGCGCGCTCCATCAGGCAGAGAAATCATCCGAGCCCTTACTGACAGCAGCCAGCGTCCTCCACGCTGGGACACTCGGTCAGTAAGGTGTCTCCTGTGTGCCTCCGGGGGACCCCACAGAGGCCCCCTCCCTGGCCCTGGGCCAGGTCGCAAGTGAACCCACGGCTCCCTTCTGCCGTGCCCATATTCAGGGCCCTGCTCCCGGGGACTTCTCTGTCCTCACAGACAGGACAGCTCCCTCGGAGAGTCAGAGCTGCGCTCTGGGAACCACCCCGGCGGTGAGGAGGGCGCCTGACCCCTTTACCCCTGTTCGGCTCCCAGCTCCGGGTCCCCGGCCTGGGCCCCGAGAGGGGCAAGGTGTCACCCACCTCGGGCTGCTCCAGCCCCAGCCTACCTGGTCCCGGAGCCTGCGGTGGGCACAGCCGCTGTCCCCGCCGGCCGGCCCGTCTTCGGGGAGCAGACAGCATCCCCTCCTGGTCCCGGCGCCGAAACAAACCAGCCGCCGCCTCCGCGGGCGAACGTGTTTACACAGACGCGCGGCCCCGCGAGTTTGAAGCTGGGCAGGAAGTGGGGAGCGGGGGTGGAGGGGGGCGCTGTCCTCAGGATGTAAACAACCTCGTGGATTCCAACCCGCTGCGCCGCTGGCTGGGCGCGCCGCGGGGACTCGGTGCCCAGTGCCCAAAGGGGAAACTGAGGCAGGTGCGGCGAGGTGAGGTGCCCGGAGTTCCACAGCTGGAGAGGTCCTGGGTTTAAACCCGCGTCTGCGTCCCCCAGGGGCTCTCGAGTCCCAGGCAGGGGGCGCGCGGGGACCCAAGAGGACAAGGGGCGTGGCCAGGGCTTACCTGGGGCACCCGCGCTCAAACTCACGACGCCAGAGCAAGATGGCCGACACCGCCTCCACGGCCGGGGCCGGAGGCTCCGGAACGGTAAGACTAGGAGGCGTGGGGCCGGAGCCTAGAGAGGTTGGGTGTCCTCTAACTTCCCTCTGGCCTAGGCCACACGCTCATCCCCAGAAGCCCAGCCCCACCATGAACTTCGAGTGGAGGTGGGTCTTTCAAGCCATACTTGTCCCCCTTCTGAGGATTTGGCGAAGGCCTCCAGAGTAGATGGATCTGAGTTCTGATTGGCTCGTCCAGAAACACCTTCTGATTGGTCCAAAGAGGGCGCTTTTACCTCTTTATTGGCTAACCAAAGTTGGGAGGGATTCCAGTTTCAAAATACTTAGCTTCCCTGCGTTTCCGTGCTGTTACGTTTTGCCCTCCTCTCCACATCGTGGATTGTTATTTTAATTTTTCCTGTTGAGATGGCGTGGAAATGGAAAGAGCAAGGGAGAGTTCCTTTTTCCTGTGAAGTAGATTTACTCAGTCCTATCGTGCATGTTTCTTCAGCTATACATTCTGCTAACCTGCTAAAGTAGAAAGTGAAAAAACAGACGTTTTGTCCTGTGGGAATGTTTTAGGTTCCCAGAAAGGTTGTTCTGTATTTAGCTCACCCTCAGTGCTCAGTTATTGCTCAGTAATCCCAGCATTCTGGAGGAAGAATGCCTCAGCAGGAAAATCACTGTGAGTTCGAGGCCAACCTGGGCTACATAGTTAATTCAAGGCCAGTGTCAACTGCATAGCGAGACCCTTTTTCGAAAAAACAAAACAAAAATCTAAACATTAAATATCCATGAGGAAGTATTTAAGAGAACTTTTGCTTGCCTTGAAATGTGTGAACTATGTTATCGCACCCTTATGCTGTGATTTGAAAATCAGTCTCCTCCTCCTCCCCCTCCC